TAGCAATTCGGTAGGAACCTCATCCGGTCCATTTGCCTTCCCAGTTTTGGAATTTTTAAGTGCCATTTCTACTTCACATTTTAGAATTTCAGGTCCCGTTTCGCCATATATCAGAACAATGTTATTCTGTTGTCCTCAAATAATTCTCCTATGTATTCACTCCATCTATTAATTTTCTCTGTTAAATCTATAATAATCTTTCCATCTTTGTTCTTAAGCAAACTTATTTGACGTCTTCTATAGGTTCCTATAATTTCTCTTACTTTTTTATGTATATTGAACGTGTCATACTTTCTTTCATAGTTTTCCATTTCTACACATTGTCCTGTAATCCATGATTCTTTGGCATTTCTTATTCTTTGCTTATGTTCTTATCAACCTCTTTGTATTTTTCTGCATTATTCTTCATTTTACGTCTTTCATCCATTAGTTCTAAGGATGTCTGGTGTCATCCACACCTTATGTTTCTTTGCAGATTTGGTTAGGTGTTTCATTCCCGTAGTTCTTTATTATAGTATTTATATACTTAAGTTTTTCATCTATGTTGTCTGTTCTGCGGATTTGGCTTTCTGCTACACTGAGGCTGGTGTTTATTTCTTCTCGCACTGTTTGTCGTAGATGTTCATTTTTAAGCTGGCTGTCGTAGATGTTCATTTTAAGTCTAATGCTGGAATGATGGCTTTTCTTATTTTCTTTGGTCTAGCTTCTATCACAGATACTACTGGATTATGATCCGAACCGATATCAGCTCCAGGGAAAGTTTTAGTAGATTTTACGGCATTACGGTATCTTTTTGTCACCAATATGTATATGGAGCGCCTACCAGTGCACAAAACTCAATATTGCGGATGTGATGGCATTTTATAATGCTTTTTATAAAAATGCAGAGAGAGTTAAACAAGGCACCTTTATACTGCAATTCCTAGAATTTAACTGTGTTTGCAGGCGTTGCCCAAAAACTGGAGTCAATCTTAATAAGACAACTACATGCAAGTGTTTCATAAAAGGTCCAGATGGCAAGTTATCCATTTGCCAAAGACTTTCACTTGAGGATCACAAGGTGCCGGCTCCGAACTATAATGAACAATTTTAGATGGGAAAGTAATGTGAGAAAAGGGGAGGAGACAAACGAACACATTTATATAAAGATAAACTGAGGAGCGTGGTCGAATTTATTAAAAGTATAAAATGCGTGGAGTCTCATTAATTTGAGGGATCGAAGTGAGCGCAAGTATGCATCAGGTGGTCTGAGTATTAATAAACTTTGGAAATTTTACAATGCTCAAGCCAAACCAGAGACAGGTAAAAAAGGATATTTTCGAATGATTTTTAATAGAAAATTCAACATTTCATGTAAGGCGCCACAGTCGGACATGTGTTCGACATATCTTTCACTTACTGAAAAAATCTCAAAGGAAACGACACCATCGGTGAAACAAAACCCTCATGGCCGCTAAAATAATTTATAAGCTTATATCGAAAGCCTTTTTTGAATTATTGGAGGAATCTAAGCATGAACTATTTTACTTTATCCTTCGGCTTGCAAAAAACCTTCCGCTGCCTAAAGTCCCGGATCAAACAGCGTACTACAGCAGACATGTACGTGTATGTACATAACTTGACAATCATAGTGGGACATTCTAAAGCCCCATTAACGAAGGGAAATTATTTTAGCTATGTATGGTCAGAGGATGAGTATGGCAAGGGCTCTAATCAGGTTGCTTCGGCAATGTATCACAGGCTGTCTAATACTGATGATTTAAAAGATATCAGTGTCGTAAGATTAATGTGTGACGGATGTGGAGGCCAGAATAAGAACCAAATAATTTTATCCATTACAATTCGCTGGCTGATACAAGCTTTAAAAAACATAAAATATATTGAAATAGTGTATCTCTTTCGAGGGCATCCATTCTTGCCATCGGACGGGGTGTTTGGGACAATCGAGAAAAAACTTTAAAAAATGCAAGTTATTCCAACACCTGAGGACTATTTTAAAATAATATCTGAAAGTACAACTTTGCAGAACCCCCATATGGATAGTTCTACGATTTGAAAACCGAAACATTGTCTCATTCAAAGCACTGCAGAATTGGCACTTTCAGATATCGAAAATAAAAAGGATTTGTTTGGCAAGATCAAGAAAAAAAAATCACGTCGTATTGGTTAAAGGGGACGAAAGCTACAACTCAAGCATCGGTTTGTTTAGAAGTATTTATAAAAACGAGATCGATCATTAACATCAATCCAAATGAAATAGGATTCGGGAACTTGGCCAACATTTGCAAAGAGAAATTGAAGGACGTAAGGAAGTTACTGTAAAGTCACTAAGGCGAGGAATGGCAAAATGATCCGAAACCGGCTTATTTCAAAAATATTACTAAACATTGCCTACATTACTAAAATGGCCCAAGAGTCCCTGAAGAAGATGACGTTAATAACATAACCACTCGATAATAACAATGATTTTTTTTTGAACCTATTCTCTATCCTTCCATTGTTGGATATAGGTCTCCCCCAGTTCTCTCCATCTTTAACTATCTTGAGCTGTCTCTGCCATGTGGGACCTCCTTGTTTCCTGATGTCATCTTTCCACCTCATCTGTGGTCTGCTCTTGATCTCTTTGCATTGTATGGACGCCACTTTCCGATGGCATTGTTCCATCGTCCGTCTTGGAGACGTTCATTGTGTCCAGCCCATTTCAGTTTTGCTGCTTGTTCTATCGCGTCTACTGTCTTTGTTCTGGTTCTGATCCACTGGTTACGTTTTCTATCTCTAAGTAATACACCCAACATTTGTCTCTCCATCGCTCTTTGTGCCTTCCTTATCCTATCCAAATTGGCCTGTGTAAATGTCCATGTCTGTGCTCCGTAGGTGAGCACTGGTATTATGCAGAGTTATATACCTTGCTTCGTAAGTATAGAGGGATTGTTTGATTCTTTAGAACGTAAGAAAGTTTGCCGAACGCTGCCCATCCCATTCTTACTCGTGTCGATATTTCAGTTGTTTGATTTTCTCTGTTAGCTCTGATTGCTTGTCCTAGATAGATATACTCATTTACCTGTTCTATTTTTATTGCCTCTTGTCTTCCGTGTTTGTCATTACTTTTGTTTTGTTGAAGTTAATTTTTAGGCCTTTTGCAATGATTTTTCATGAAGTTCATTCAGCATTAATTCCAGTTCTTGTCGTTCCGAGGAGATCAGGAGTATATCATCCGCATATCTAAGATAATAACAATGATAAAGAAGTCTTAAGAGTATAGAATTTTGGTATTAATAATTATTCTAATGTATTAAGTACTGTATATGTAATGTATTTACGGCAATTTTGCCAGTGTTTTGCAAATAGAGGTCAAGTGCTTGCAAGACAATTAAACTCAATTATTGACTATATAATAGTTAGGCAGACATCTAAAGTTAAAATACAAAAAACCCGAGTGGTATAGATAGAATGTGGATTGAATCAATACTCACTGAAATCTCAAGCGCAAATTTACTATAAACATAAAAAACAATCAAATCGCAACCAAAAAATATGAAACACTTGAGATGGAAACAAACTTTATTTATTTCTTTTGAAAAACTTATTGTTGCGAAGAATAAAAGGTTCTTTTTGAAAATAAACAAACGAATAAAACAATCAGATAACACAGCCCGGCAGGGTATAAATTATTTGTTTTAATATTGTTCTGAAGCTATTTTCTTGTGGCATAAATGAATTACTATTTCACTGGGAATAAGCCACAATTAAATATAAAAATACGTTTATTGACGTTTCAATTTCCACTTCGGAAATCTATTTTTATCTTTAATTGTGGCTTATTTCCCAGTTAAATAATAATTTATTTGTTTTAGTCGTAAAGTCAACGAAAATAAATAAAATAACATTCGCTTTCAAAAACGAAAATTTGCCTTATGTGGGGTTAACGGATGTGCAAAGGAGATAGATTATTGGTCTTGTGGAACAAGGAATGTCTCAAAGGTACATAGCTGAAGTGGTAGGCGTACCAAAACCTATGCTAGGTATCAGGAGTAAGGAATGCTAAAGAATAGAATAAGATAACGTCGCCAAAAAGTAACAACGGCTTGCTACGATCATTTTATTGTCCAAATAGCCAGAAGAGACCCAACAATTTTTCACCCGCAACCACAAAAGCATCTTTTGAAAGGTACAGGTGTAAGTTTTTTACTTGAAATGACAATAACAAAACTTTGTGCCCATGGACTATACTACAGTAGACAGTTACGGGTTCATGAGTTAACCAGGCAACACAAGATTGATTGTCTAAATTGGTGTCTTTAATACCAAAACTGAAACATTGGAAATTGGCAAAATGTGCTATTTTTAGACGAAACAAGGATTTGTGTAACATTCTGTGACGGATAAATTCGTGTACTTAGAGGATGAGAAAAAAAGCAAGAACGGAAACAGCCAGATCTGTCAACAGATATAAAGTCATGTCCTGGGGAAGTAATATGGTCGGTGAAAAAATTCATTTAATTTCCATTTAACAAACTTTAATAGCTCGCAGGTATCTTGTTTTGATTCTAGAACCTGCAGGACTTTGAAAAAGTGCAGGGGAAAAAATTAATTTTCATGCATGCACCTCCACATAACAGCAGAGCCAATACAGATTTCCTTAAAGCAGAAGATTTCACTGTGCTGTATTGGTCTGCTTGCTCACCCGACCTTAACTCTATAGAGCATTTGTGGCCTCTTCTTTTTATATGCTTTGCTATATGTGTATACATAAAAGTATATTCAAGAAGAATTTGTAAACAAAAAACTCCATATTTTCTAAAAGGTATGTTGGGTTTGGAAAAATCATGACACAGCACTTCTTTTCACTCTAAAGAAAGTTTTTCTAGCCTTCTTCCCTATTTTAGCCAGATTTCTGGCCTCTTATTATTAGTTACTTGTCTTCCATGCTTGTTCAATATTTCTGCTAATATGTTCTTTATAAAAATCAATTATCAGGTGTTAAAAATAAAAATCTTTCAATAAAAAAACGTGGATTTATTTTAGAGTATCACAAAACTTTACTAACACATTAAAAGCATGAACTAATCCAAGTTTATCAATAAAAACAAGTAAAAATGTTTATAATACAAGTACACTTAATAATGAAATGTAAGCTATTGATCTAAAACACATTACAGCCTTCCATTTTGATAAATAACACTATTACTTTAAAATACCTTTATCTACAGAATAGACAATTTCACTAAAAATTCAAACATAAAGATACATTCGAACAAAATGTGTTTAATAATTAACAACTCAATTGGTTAAGAGGAGAAGTTCCCTTTCACTAACTAATCACATCTTTTAGTAAATTGTATAGTTTTTGTTTATTTCTCCAATTTGTCAAAGAGACTTTCAGATACCAAAATTTATCATATAAATAGCATGTCAAGTAATTCTAATCTATACAACAAATCAAATTACTATTCAAAATTGTATGAAGTACTGAGTACAAATGCTCTGCATTAAAGACCATACAATATTTTGTACATAAAATATAAAATACATAAAAAGCAATGTTTTTCACAGTTCCTTTGACATTTATATTAAAATATGACACAGTAAAGAACTCTTCATGCAATATTTGAGATGAAACAATATAAAGTTATTATGAACATATGTGCGGCTCAAAATTCAGCCTTTTGCATTTGGAATTCACATTAAATATCTTCAGTACTCAAGTATTTAAATAATATATAATAAACTACAAGAATAATCAAAAACTATTTAATTTCCTTTAAGTACTTAGGGTTTTCAAAGAAAAATACTCAGATAAAGGTATTTTACTATAATAAACTATCCGAAAACTTAAAAATAGGGAATGGGTTTGTACAAAATTTGACTTAGGTTCTTATTGGGAGGGCGGAGGTGTTGTTATAGGTCTCTTGAAAAGCAGAATATGAGGTTCTGAAACAAAAATAATAAAATATTTGTTAAAAATGGTATTGCATGGAGATATAATAGCAATCAAATTATCGCTGAAAGCTGATAATAAATAAAAATCTTTATTATATGGCATTTATTCTCAAATAAAAACTATATTAACATTTGATACACTAATTTTACTGTTAAATTTAAGACAAAAAATTCAATTTGGTATGTCTTATGAATATTTTTCTTGCATTTTTAGTTAGTGCCTTAGAAATTCAAAGTCCCCACTTAATCCTGAATCAGTAAAATTGTTTATATGGACAGAGTATGATCTCCAGAGGAGTTCAAATGAGATTTATTTATTTTTTTTATTTATCGTATGGCATATAATAAGAACACACAATTAAAAAAAAAAATCATAAAAAAACGTTACATGAAGTATTACAAACGAACATCTAATGTATTATTAATATAATGTAAAACATTTTTCGGTCGCATTCAGGAACTCATCGAAAAACTCCACAGAATCGCCTTCGGGGACATTCTTCAACAATGTGACGGACGGTCTGTCGTTGCGCACCACAGTCACACTCAGGAGTAAGGGCTTTTCCCCATCTATATAAGCTGTCAGCACATCTACCGCTGCTTGTTCTTATTCTGTTTAGCGTTGTCCATGTATTGCGGGTCAGTTCAAAGCCTGGCGGTTTCTGATCAATACAGGCCATTTGATGTGCTTCCTGTGGTGAGTCGCTCTCCCATTGTGTTCTCCAAGCTTTGGTCAGGTTGAAATGTTCCTGATGTAAGGAGTTGGCTCTTAGCAATGGAGGATATCTGGAGCGCAGTCTGTTTATTTCGATATCAAGCTTATCTTGGTGTATAGGTAGTTGATGGTTAGCCTCAATTTTTCGATATTCTCTGAGAAGAAAATGACTTCTTCGCAGTTTCGGCGGTGGAATGTGACTTAGAATGGGAAGCCAATAGTTTGGTGTGGGTCTAATTGTACCTGAGATCATTCGCATTGTCTGGTTTAATTGAGTGTCAATAATCTTTGTGTGTTTGCTATTGAGCCATACCAGGGAAGCATATTCAGCCACCGAGTATACAAGTCCGAGAGCGGATGATCTGAGTACGGAGGCTGAAGACCCCATGTAGTGCCACATAGCTTTTGGACTATATTATTTCTCGTTTTCAACTTTGCTGTCGTTCTTTGAAGATGTTCTTTAAAACTCAATGTTCTGTCCAGAGTCACTCCAAGATATTTTGGTGTTGAGTTATGAGTGAGCAGTTTGTTTTCGAAGTGGATGGAGAGTTTTTTGTTGGCTTGGGCATTATTCAGATGGAAACAGCACACTTCGGTTTTCGTTGCATTAGGCCGTAGCCTCCATTTGCGAAAGTATTCTCCCATAATGGCAAGGTCATCCGCTAATATTGTTTCTGTGATATTCATGTTATTATGTCTTGCTGCAATTGCCCAATCGTCAGCGTAGCCAAATTTCTGCGAAGTTGTCCTAGGTAGGTCCGCGATATATAAATTGAACAGTAAGGGTGCCAAAACAGATCCCTGTGGCAGTCCCATTGCTGAGCTTCATTTGGGAACTTTTAGAATTGTCTATTGTGACTTGAAAAGGTCTGTCGGTGAGCATGTTATCAATGAGTTTAGTTACCTTTTGACACGGGACGGCACGGATTAGCTTGCAGATTAGTCCTTGTCTCCAGACAGTATCGTATGCAGCTGATAGGTCCATGAAAGCAACGGATGTTTTTTGTTTTCTTTGAAAACAGCTTCAATATGTGTTGTTAAGGATAGGATCTGATCTGTGCAGCTGCGGTTAGGTCTGAATCCTGCTTGCTCAATAGGTATCAATTCAAATACTTTTCTACTAATTCTGTTGTAGATTAAGCGTTCCAACAGTTATAAACACAGCTCAGCAAAGCAATCGGACGGTAGTTTTGAGGCTGATTATTTGCCTTTCCTGGTTTTAATATGGCTATAATGAAGGCTCCATTATATCCATCAAATGAGATTGTTTCTGCTGTTTATTACAAATTGACAAACTTACATTTTGATGAAGGGGTAGAGAAAGTGTATTTAGTGACTGATGGTTGTGGAGGCCAGAATAAGAATATCACGATGGTTGGAATGGTTCATTACTGGGTACAATGCTGTGATCCACATCATATAAAATATATAGAACTCATATATCCCATAGCAGGTCATTCTTTCCTTCCCCCTGATTGAGTCTTTGCTCACATTGAAAGAATAGTTAAGAAATGTGCCACCATAATTGATCCAGAAACATATAATAATTTTATTAAAGATTATTCTGCAGTGCTGAAGATGGGAGAAGATTACACAGTTTTTGACTGGAAAGTGAGGTGCAAGAAATTCTTAAAAGTCCTGGATCCTGGCATTTTCGTTTTCAATAATCTAAACGATTATTATTTTCAAAAAACAAGAAAGGGTGTGTTTATGTCACAGGCGAACCATTTTATAAAAATGTGCTTTCTAAGCTCAAGAGCATCTGCAAGAAAGGAAAGAATATTACTTAAATCCAGTTACAACCATTGAGTGTATGGAGACATTTAAAACCAGATAAAATAAAAAGCATATCAACATTGTTAACAAAACACTATGGTGTGAATTGGGTGGCCAATGAATGTCTTCATTTCTTTACAAAAGCTTTTAACTACTTGGAAATAACTAACCAGGCAGAAAATCATCCTGAGGATATAGAAGATCATCCTGAAGGTAAAGAAGATGAAAGTATGATTAATTCATCTGATAACGAAGATATTAACTTAATAATTTAGTTTTTGTTTATATATTCAATAAAAGCAATATTTTTCAAATTTATTTTATTACAACCCTTTTTTGTTAGTATCACACACGAGGCTAACAATACTATAAAAAATACAAAGTTGAGGTTCATTTAGATGCATAAGCAGACATGTGCAACTCTCAAGTGCAAAACAAGACATGTCTAATTTTTAAACCAAAATGAAGGGGTTAGAAGTAAAACCGCCTAAGTAAAATTTTCACCAAAACGACTTTAGTGATATTTCACATTCTGAATATCTTATATTGTTTGGTAGTAAAATCGACTATGTTGCAACCTTACTTTATCGCCATCTTTTGATGAATAGAAAAAACAACCAAAATGAAATTCACCAATCGTTAAGAGCAGAAATCGCCTTAGCGCACCTAGGCTGTTTTAACTCCAAACAAGGGGCTGGATATAAATATATTTTTATTACTTATGTTGTTTGGGTTCCACTCAACGGTTTGGATTTGCTTATGGCGTGTAGGTTATGCTTGTTTAGTAGATTAACAGCAGTGTTTCAAGTGTTACTATTGTTTGCAGAAATGATATATTTTATCATTATAATATTTGGATCATATTTTTTGAGTTTTGATATTATTTTAGAGTCAGATAGTGATCCATACGCTACAGATGGAGAATCTGATTTTATTCCGAGTGAATATGAAGAAGATAATGACAGCGATAATTCTATAATATCTGCCGAGGAAGCAACTATAAGCACACATGTGGAGTATAATATTTGAGTAGTAAAAGTGTGTGTTTTAGCTTGTTAATTTTAATTTAACCCTTTAATTGGCAAGGGTATAAATACTTACTGAAAAATTAAAATTTGTTCAAATATGTAGCATAAAACAATCATCTTGAAATAATTTCTAGTTTTTTTTTGTTTTCCATTTCATACTTTTTTTTACAGATTGTATCCTATAGGATACATTGCCAAAAAGTCAAGATATAACGTTTAGTTAATTTTGAATGTTTAAAATACTTTGCTTGAATTATATAACATCAATAGGGTTAAAAAATAAAAGATTACTACTAATAAATGCTTTAATAAAAAATAATTACAATTTAGTTTATGGTAAGTCATAAAACAGTTCCTTTCAGAGATAATACACAGTCGTGTATTACACTTCTGACACATAAATGTAGTTTGTCCTTTAGGGCACAAACGACACCGACCTTTAGTTGTTGTTAAGGGAAAATGATCAATGTTATCTAGCCTAGTATCGTCGGTCGGCCTAGTAACTACCGGACTTCGGATTTGTTTGTTAGGAAATGACCAAGCAGCTGGGCGACCTATTTTTGCTTTATTTGATTTTAGTAGACTTTGAATAATGTCGTTGCGGAACGTTTTCAATGGAATGATTTTTTTAATGTTCAGTGCATTGCAGTGTCTTCTATAAAGCAGCCATCCATTATTTACACTTATATCGAGCATTTGGGCTAGCAACTTCAGGTACCATCGATGTGACTTTAGGCCAGTTCGATATAAAGACACAAGCATGTCAGCAAGGTCTACGCCTCCCATATGCTTATTATATTCTAAAACTACCTGGGGACATAATACGTTAATTTTTTTCTTTTGTTCCTTACAGTATCTTTGAACATGAGATGTTGTTGTAGTATCAGAAAATGATGATACTAAATTAACACATTTATTATCTGCCCATTTGGTAATACTAATTTTCATTTCGTTGTCGCTAACACTTTCGAAGCTACCTCGTCCTCTTTTAAGTAACACCTTGTCAGAAACCATAGTACAATTTCTTATTCTATTTTTTTGAACTGTCCCTAGGCTGAATATGCCTAACTCACTTCTTAGATATGTAACTAATTCAAGTGAAGTAAACCAATTATCAAAATATACAATTTTACATGGTTTCTCATGAATACTTCTACATAAGGCTACTACCACTTTCTGCGGTATTCCAAAGTATTTTTCCTCATAATTTGTAAAAATGTGATTCAAAAAGGTATTTTCACCAGCATAAGGAAAAAAATCATATACAATACCGCTCACTCCACATCTAACAAATAATTTAAACCCCCATTTTTTCGGCTTGTTTTTTATATATTGTCGTCTAGTTCCTGCTCGTGTTCCCTTATATGGGACCATCATTTCATCTATCGAAAAACGCTGTTCTTCTGGAATCGCTAAGCAGTTTTGGCGTACATGTTCCAACAATGGACGGACTTTAAAGTACCTGTCGGTGCCATTATCATCTTCATGTTTGCGAAATGAATGTTTCTTCTGAGACTTTGATAACGTTTCAGAGGCATCACGTCAGCTACTTGATCATAACGGAATAATTGAGACCAAAAATCGCAATAGGAAGGCATGCTGACTATACCCATCAACAGCTCAATGCCAACGAAAGATTTTATTTCCTTAATATCAGTGGCTACGGATTTACCTGTTCTCTGGGTTGAATACAGATTTGTATTTTCTGCAATTATCGAAAACAGATCGTCCTTGAAAAACATTTGGAAATAAGTCAATGGTGATGAAATATCAGTTATACTACTGCAAATAGGTTCTGGAATTTCTACTGGATAACAAAACTCTGGAGAGTTAAAATTAAAATCCATTTTCTGCCGTTGAATGTTAACCTTCTTAGGTACAGGTGGTAAAGGATCCGGTATATTTGGTTCTAATGAAGTCAAAGAATTGTTTTAAAGCTCTTTCTGATCTTCGAACAGATTCTGTGGCAACATCATTTTCACTCTGAAATGGTTCTAAATACATATTATCATCAAATATAATTTCAATGTCCATATTATTTTGGTCATAATTTGTTTCCAAAACATCCTCTGTGTCTGAAACATCCGAATCGTCAGAGTCTATTGGTGGTAACATTGCGATTATATTCATTGTTCGTTTAGAATAAACTCCAAATTCGCGACTTGCCATCTGAAAACAAAAAATAACAAGTTAATTTATCTAATTATTCATACCACATTGTTAGGCAATGTATCTTTTAAGATACCACTAAAATCCGTTCGTTATAACTGAGAACCCGGCAATGTTTCTTTAAAGATACATAGTTTTAAATGAGACTTCATACAAAAATTATAAAATAATATGGAACAAACAACTTAATATTACATCTCAGTAGACTTACCTTTACCAAAATAAACAGTTATCAGCATAAAATCTCTAAAAACTTTTCAATAAACGCTGTTTACATGGGATCAGTTAGTTCACTAACCTAAAAATTGCAACATGGTAAATTTACGTCACCTGTAGAACGTTTGTAATAGATCCTATAGATGGCGACTCACAACTAGTTATAAAAGAAAGGGTGTATTTAAAGATACATTACCAAAGACTGGCATATTTTTAAAGAAAATACGTTGATACAAATTTTTCCTTGATATGTATCTTTAAAGATACATTATCAATTAAAGGGTTAAGCATAATATCCCTAACAAAAATTAATTTATTATGTAAATATTAAACTTGTAAATACCGGTAAATTTAGTACCTACCTTATAGTTATGTACTTTTAGAAATTTCGAAGTTAAGTTTAACTTAAGGGTTTAACATATTTTTCCCTCTCAGTAATTCCTAAAATTTACTGAAAAATGAAGCGTAACATACATGCATGGAAGAGGAATAAAATCACAAATAAGGGGCTTGCTGGCCAAGAAATGAAAGCAGAGAAAAATTGAAGAGAAAGAAATGTGTCCAGGAGTATATGCATATGTGTAGGTACCAATGTGGAATATTTAACGACATTGAAAGTAAACGACTCTTCTCTAAGTTGGACAGTTTACCAACCTGCAAACAGCTTTTTTAGCTTCATATATCAGAAAAACTGAACCTAAAAAAACTGGCTAATAGCAAAAAAATTACAGTACAGAAATTAAACTTCTTGACTGCTGTGTATGCAGACTTTTTCCTAAAAACTTTTGATACCACAGTCGCTTTAAGGTTATGTGTAAAAAAGTTAACAAAAACAATTTTGTGGAGCCTGATAAAAGAAAAAATATGTCCCAACCAACAAAGTATCAGAGAACGCAAGAAAACTAGTGATTGAATATATCAGATCATTACTACATAATAGGAGTCATTATTCTTATAATCAAAATCCAAATACGAAATACCTTTCGTCCGATTTAAACATTCGCAAAATGTATGGTCTTTACAAAGATAATAATTGTACTAATAACGATAAACCCCCAGGAAGGGATGAGGGATTATATTTTCAATACTGAATTCAATTTAAAATTTCACTATCCTCATTCAACTCTTGTTATAAATGCGATCGGTTGGTAAACTTAATATCATCATCAACTGAAGACGAAAAAGAAGTACGAGACAATTTAAGTATCAAAAATGGCAAAATTTATAACAGCTGCTACAGTTCATACCCCCATTTACCATCAATTTTATAATGATTTGCCGCAGGAGTCAAAGCAGCAAAAAAAAAACACTATGAAAAAAGGAAGCACTGCTGTTAAGTCTTCCAAAGAAGATGCCAACGTAGAACAAAACAACAACATAGGTTTTTTGTCAGATTATGAGTAACTCTGGTGTTATAACAAAGTAAAACTTGTATTTTTTTTAAGAAAAAATAAATATTAATTGAAAATTAAGCTTTTGCTTAGTTCTTTTTGTGTATTATAAATCCATTTTTGCTTAAAGGTAAAACAACCTAAGTGCATTTTTTTATCGAAAGAGGTAAAAAAACTAAAATAATTTCTCACCAGAAGTATCTATAAAATTTTATACTTATTTTGAATTGTTTAATACTTTAAAATTTTTAATTTTGAACATCCAGAATTTTTAAAAGAGCAAAAACTTTGATGCTTTATTTCTCAAAATGTGTATTTTGCTACTTAGGCAGATTTTCTTCTGACCCCTTCAAATATCTTATTACTAACAAGTCTAATTTATGTTTTGATTAGTAGTAACAATATTTATTAAAGATAGAACATTTTGGTTAAAACACAATGTTCATTGGTGTCAAATTACGTTTTTGGTAGGTGTATTTGTAGGCGATTTACTCAAAACACCTTATAGGTCAAATACTGGTTTTGCATTTATATGCTTCACTTATATATAAATGAAAATAATTATTTATCTTAATCTCATGGGGAATTTAATTATTAATTACTCTTCCTAAAATATAAATACCAAAATGTTTTTAGTTTGTTGAAGACTACTTTCAAGACAATATTTTTGAATGAAATTTTTTAGTTCACTTTTACAAGCACTCCTAAAAATATATTTATGAAATTAAGACTAAATTTTGTATCAAGACCAAATATTCTATTTATCATTTTATAAATTGTGTACTTACCTGGTAAATGAATCATATAATGCACCCATCCTTTACTTTGTTGAACTCCAATACTTCGCCATTCATCTTCAGACATTAAATGAGTTTTGGGTACTACGCTAACCATTTCTTTGGGAAGTACAACATGCCTGTAAATGCAAAGTCATTTCATTTATACAAGTTATCTAGCAAAAACGAATACCTACATACAATACTATTTGTTCATAACATATAGTATAACTGGTGTTCTCTGTTAATAATACCTCGGTTGCAAGTTATACTAAAGTTTAGACATTACACATAGTTCTATTTAATTAAACAATTGTAAAGTTTAAACGTTTTAGGAGGCTTCAGTTTAATATTGTTTGGATTATAGCTTACCTATATTCAAACACATCATCATAGTATTTGTCCGAGTAATAGATACTGTTTATCAATTCCTCCCTGCTCATAGATGCCATTGCGTTATTGGGATAATATTACAATTAGTAAACCATAAAATTATAAGATAAAAACTTTGCAAAACTTGTTCTTTTATTCTCTAGATATTTCTGTCACGTTTTCCGTTGATTTTTTGATGATCAAATTGAATTTAGTAACTTACAGGCTAGCCAACTGTGTTTAAAAATCCCCAACTGGATGCTGACAACAGGGCTGCCTATACACTCTTTTTTATGTATTTAATAAAATTTTATAATTTTAGGTACTTGGTACATTTTTTTAAGGAATATATAAGCTACGATTGTTTATATTTTAGTTTTTATATAATTGTTTTGGGATTGGACTATTTGGAATTTAAAGCTATATGTCTATCTCTTTTTTTGTTGTTGTCCTTGTAGGCCATCTCAGTAATTTATTAGTCTGTGGTTCGGCCTAAAGGGGATAGTCCGATTACAGCAGTATATCGTCTTTAATTTAAGTAATGTTTAAAAAAATACAAAAGGAAAACGGTCTAACAGTGGAAAGTGAAATTTCAAACTCAAAGGAAAACTACCACAATAATAGTGAATTTGTTTTATCTACCTTAATCGGTTCCCAAAACATTAAAAAATGGAACTCCATTAGAATAGCGCTAGGATTTAAAAGCAATGAAGAATTTGTCACCAAGTTGTTAGATCTTGCTCAAGGATATCTCGATGGGTAAGTTTTAACGATATTTTGTAAAAATAATGCTTGGGTTCAATGCTCTATGTGTCAAAACCAACTACTTTGGAGCTTTAAAAATTGGAGGTAGGGATTTTGGCTTGTCTGACAGATCAATAAATTCACAAACATAAACAAACACACGTGGAAATTAAAAAAGTAGTCAGCCTGTCAAAAATTTGTGTTCTATTTGTATTTTACTACACTTCTGTTCTACTTACCTAATGCTTTAAATATACAAAACGTGTTGACAACTATGAGAAAAACTTTAAGGACATATTTATATTTACTTCTATGTTGTATAATTTTTCCCCATAATAACAAACTAATTTCGCTTGTTTTCTTGTATTTCTTGCGTTTCTCTTTAAATCTAACAATTATTTGTCTGTCTTTACTAGGTCTTTTTCTTTTGTGCTTTTTGTTTTGTTTGTGTTCCATTATTTAATATTTTAATTAAGTCAGTGAGATCGAGAACCGTTCAGAACTGGTAAATTGACATTGTATTGTTGGCGATATCCATAGATAAAATTTATAGATTGGTAACAGGGATAAGCAATGTCAAATCACGTTCGGATTTAGGCGCCCATTCGTTTGGTGGCGCTGCTAGTCTCGTTTCTACGCGTAGGGAGTGTGCTGTGGTCAAATCAAAAGTTGAATTTAGACAAATGCGGCGCCATATTTTTATTTGTTTTATTTTTTATAATTTATTTTATAGTTTAAATTTTTTTATATAAGTAGTGCAAAAAGGTAAAATTTTAGACGATTTTTTATTATGGAATCGAACACATTACATGGAATAACAATATAGTGACGAAGAACTGAACAAAAAAGATGTATTCCAGATTGCATGGATACTAGGCAAGCACACTACCGCTGGCAAGCAATACCGTTTTTCAAGTCCAGGAGATTATAATATGGATATGTTTGATAAATGGGCGAATGCTGTTAAAAGCCCTAATTATAGAATGCTGCAACAGAAACTATTTATAACAATTTTCGTGTATGCGCTAGTCATTTTAAAGAGGATGATATAATTAATGTTGGACATACCGGTATTACGAGAACAGCCCTTCTGAGTTTGTTTTTACCAGCACCAGGTAAGAACTATTATGCCAATATATGTATGTATGTGACCTTTTACTTATAAAATTAGTTAATTATAAATTTAACCTAATTATAAAATCAGACTTACTTGCTTACTATTTGAATTATTTTGTAGGTGGTGGTTCAACAACTATCTTAAAAAATCATCACCTTAGAGAGGGTTCAACATAATTTCTACAGGTGTGCCTGTTTCAAAGTCGGATTAGATTAGCAGACCATGACTACACTATCATATGGAGAGGTCCATGAGCTTGCCGTTAAGTGCGAGGAGGGATCTGTCTCTCTCTTGTGAGTGAGATTGGTCTTAGAGTACCATATATTATCATGGTTTGTCTCATCTATGTACTTTTAATCAAAAGAACAACCTAAATCTAAATGTATTTAATATGTCTCTCAATAAATATATAAATATTAGTAGAAAAGAGTTACTGGTAAGATAGAGTTTGGAAACGTAACTTTCTAAAATACTTCATATTATTATTGTAACTAGGTAATACTTTACATATTTTTTTATTCTTAATGTTATTTTTCCATCTTTATAGTGCTGGATCTTAGAATCTTAGAGCTAACTGTTGGGTTTATAGGTTTAAATATGACTAAAATATTATCATATAAATGTATATAAAGTTCTTTCTAGATCTAAATCATTTAATTTTTCTGTTTCCAACTTAGCAGAGTTCTTGAGTTCTGTTTTTCTGTGAGTAGAACGCCAGACAGTAAGAGTTCTCACTGACCACTGGTAGTGTGTGTTATTAGATTAGGATGTAAGTACTACAAAGAACTCAGAATTATTAGGCTTTAATTTGACATTAGAATTCCAAAAAAATTATTTAATTACTGACAAGTTCTTGTCACAAGATTTAGAACACTAAATTATACTACATTTACCCTTCCCTATTTGTGAACAAAATATTGCAACTATCTTGGTTTATTTTTAGCTCAGCTGATTTACAGCTAGATTGAAAATCTGAATTTTCCAATCTTGGTTCATAATTATCATCAGGTTTTTGAACAGGTAAATTTTCTGTCACATCTGGCATTGATTTAGTAGTGGAATTCTCTAATGTGTTATTTGGACTTCATCTTCATCATTATTGTGATTCAATAATATAACAATTCAATAGTAAACTTCTTATATAGTACAGAGCTCCTGGTAAAGCAGTTTTTCATTTAGTGATGTCTAAATATTTGGTTTTCAATGCTAGATTCACCAATTTCTATATAACTCATTGTATCTTTCAACTTAACCATTTCCTTCATGGTTATATGGTGTTGTTCTACTTGAAATATTCCTTTAGGGTGGAGATAATTAATAAATTCTTGTGAAGTAAAGCTAGTTCTCCTTGTCAGATTTTATATATGCCAGCATTCTATATAAACAAAATAGTGATTTAATCTGTGATTATGTCTGCATTTTTTTAATACTTCAACGCATTTGCATGTTTTCATTCTGAATCTGTGAGAGTATGTGTGAAAAAAGCAATTGGTTTTCAGCATTGATTGCTTCGCTTATGTAATTATAGACTAAATTTATTACAAGCATGTACTTACTTTGTCTTCTAGGGATTTATCTTTAGATTCATTGCTTTCTAAAAATATCTTGAATGTTATATACCAATGTTTGAATTCTTTGCAAATTTTGAGAATAAAATTGTAGTAAAAGGCCTTTTGCAGAATTAGGCTTCTATTTACATAAAACTTGACATACTAAGACAAAACAATTATTTAAATACTGACCAGTTCTTGCCACAACATTAAGAAAACTAAATTATAGTACACTTGGCTTGTATTATTAATATTTCTTGTAACACATATAACATTTCTTGTAATATTTTTATAAATAAAGATTTTATTCTATATTTTATTCTTTAATTTTTTGACCACTTTGGCATTTTAATGTAATGTAAAATAAATATAGTCTCAACATAACAAGAAAACCCAAAAAGTATACGAAAAATATTTATTATCGTATAGGATAAGGATTTTTCTTGTTATTTTAAGATTATATCGATTTTCCTTTACTTTAAAATGAGTTCACAATCCTAGGTAATATTACAAAAATTTTGAATTTCGCGCCATGTATTTATAGTTAGGCGCCCGGTCACTAGGTGATGCGCCAATCATTGTTTTACTCGTCAACACGGAAGTTTCAATGCTAGGTGGTAGTGTGCTATGGCGATCTCACATTTTCATACAATACAACATAAGACGAGAACCAAATGATGACCAAATGACGCGAATAACAAAAATGCAGGAATATACATAAAGGTTCGCTTCAAATTGTTTTTTTTTACTGATTAAATGAAATTTTATTTAGATTACTGACGCCTAGATTTGACCCCTGAGATATAATGTAAATTCTGAGACTTTGATGGGCTCGTCATGTAGTGAGAATGGAGACCAGAAGATTGCCAAAAAGAACCGATAGTAAAAATGCAGGGCGCAAGACTAAAAGAAAGCCCACGGGAAAAGTTGGGAGGATGAAGTGACAATGGACTCGCAAAATTTGCTGGACGTGAGAACCTGGAGAAGATCGACGCGGGACCGGCAAGGTTGGAGACATAGTTTGGGGAGGCCAAGGCTTGATTTAGGCTGTAGTGTCATTGGAGAGATATATAATGTAAATAATATACACAAATTACTACTCGGATCGTATAAAGTTCAGCAGCTGAGCATCTTTCTATATACATGGAAGGTTGGATAGTTAAAACTATTCTATCTTATGTAATTTTTTTCGACGAATACAAGATATATATATATATATATATATATATATATATATATATATATATATATATATATATATATATATATATTATATATATATATATATATATATATATATATATATATATATATATATATATATATATATATATATATAGTCTCCTTAACTGACAATGATTCAAAAAAAATTATACTCAGGATCAAATGGCGCAGTGCTTCTATCTGTTCGAAGAGGAAGCTCAGTTTCTGCTGCTTTAAAGGAATTTAAAGTACCTCATATAAGTTTGCTATATCAATAAAAGGAAAATATACTGAGGTTTCCACTATCGGCCCTTCTCCAACGTTACCAAATGAGGAAGAAATAATTTTGGTACAGTGGATGTTAGAACTTTCTAGAATTCATTCACGAAATTCTGGAATCTAGCTACCTATAAACACAATTCAGTCAACCAGATAAAATAACAGGAAATATTTGTGACTCACCCAAACCAGGAACTTCAAGAGATCCTGATTACCAGTTTTGTAGTCCCAAAAAACTAATAACTACTAAAATTAGTGCTGAAGAAACTGTTTCAAACAGTGCCTTTTCTTTAGATGTGCCAATACACAGCCACCTTTACTTCCAAGCCATGAAGTAAAAAAGGCAACACCGCATTCTATGACGTCGGTAGTCCGATAATCAGCTGTAAGGTCTACCAGAAAATTAAACTAATTTGAATTTTAGGAAACTGATATTTTGAAAACTTCAATTCATTACAGAAATATTTTTAGGGAAATTAAATTAATAAAACCCTATATATACCTAATAAATATATATAAAATTTTATTATTATTAAGGTTATATTATCAATAAAATAATCGTTAGAGTAGAATTTATTGCACTTAAAATACAGTGTCAAACAGTTAGAGCGCCTTCCTTTAAACCTAAAGGTCGTGAGTTCGAATCCCATCTGGGTAGAGAAATTTTTGTTTATTAAAAATTAATGAATTAAAATAATTTCTATCCATGTGCGATCGGTACTCACCGGAGGGACCGCAGACGTTCGGATACAATTAGCGTCTCGTAGCAAAGACAATGATGTCGACTTTGCTAAGTATCAAGACAATTACTCTACACATACACACACACTACACTAGGTACCTGACTATACCATGCCAATGATCAT